TTTCTGACATTTAGTTTATTGTTATGTTGATGCTATTGAGCTGTAATCTATCAATATTATTGATTCGATGTTACGTAAACAACGTCAATGTTGTTCATAACACTAATTCATTTATTCACTATAATGTATATATAAGACGAGTGGCTTGTGATGACAATAATTATGAATAATAAATTTTACTATGAGGATATCTAATATTTTGAAAACAGCATAAGTGAACAAACAAATATTCAGATAGGCGTAGTAGTCGATAAAGACTAGGAAAAATGAATAAGTCTGATTGAGTAATGCTATACTGTAAGGGAAGTAAATAAATTATATCGGCAGTTGCTCTAGGAACTTGATTTCTACGATACCATATTTGTCACGTATTCTACATGATGAAGATAGTGTCAGGAACGAACTAACTAACCTTCTTTCCACTAGTAAATACAAAAAATGTTTCTCCATCCTTACACGAATGTGTTTTACTGTTATTATCCCACTTACATTTATGGTCCTCTGTTTTTTTCATAATTGTTATCATTATTATTGTTCCCTTGGGTTCCTAGTGGAAGAAAGGGCTTCAACTGCACGCCTCCACTTGCTTCTGTCTTCTGCTGTACTTTTCACTTGCACCCATGTTAATCCATACTGCTTCAACTCCTCTTCACACGATCTCCCCCATGCCACCCTTGGACGTCCCACTCGCCGCTTCTCTCTCGAGTTCCACTCGAGCGATGGCCTGACGCGCGATGTCACCCAACCGCCTCCTCAGCGAGTGTCCAATCCATCTCCACTTTCTCCTGCATATTTGTTGACCGATTGGTTCTTGTTTTGTTTGTTCCCATAGTTTCTTGTTGGTTCTTGTTCTTTCCGGCCATCTGATCTTGAGTATAGAGCCAGCGAAGACAGTTGTTGATTAAGGTCTGCAGCCTGTTGGAAATATTCTCTGTGACCCGCCAAGTTTCTGATCCGTATAGAAGAACTGACTTGATATTCGTATTGAAAATCCGAAATTTGTTGTTGGTGCAGGCTGAGTGACGAAGATTTCCAGATTGGTTTCAGGTTGATGAATGTGTTTCTCGCCTTCCCTATTCTCGATTTGACATCCTCGTCCGTTCCTCCTGTGGTTGAGACAATGCTCCCTAGATAAGTGAATGAAGTAACCTCTTTCAAATCCCTCTCGTTGAAGGTGATTGGCGCTGGATGTTGCTGTTGTTGTTGTTTGGTTGGTTATTTTCATAACCTCCGTCTTGTCTATGTTCACCTGGAGTCCTGTCTTTGCTGCATCTTCGACCAGTTTGTCGGTTTTCGCTTGTAAGCCTTCGATTTTGTGTGACATCAAACATAAATCATCCTCGAAATCCAGGTCTTCTAGGTTCTTCACGTCGGTCCAGGATATCCCTGTCTTCTCGTTTCTCACTGTCTGACGACGCATAATCCAGTCCACCACAATTAGGAATATCATTGGTGATAATAAGCACCCTTGTTTGACTCCTGTGTTTATTCCAAACGCGTCGCTGAGTTTTCCGTTGTGGATCACTTGATATGTGCCGTTGTCGTACAGCTGTTGAATAAGGTTGATGAATATTTGGGGGACGCCGTAGTAACACCATTTAAACTCTGTAATAATTTTCAAAAGAACGGCTAGTAAACAAAGAGTATTCTTTCTGATAATCTGGACTTCATAAGGTTCTACAGTTATATACACATAATAGCGAATGAAAGAATTATTGTTATTAACAACAACATTAATGTTGTTTAAATAACGTCGAATCAATAATGATATGAGTGGATTACAGTTCAATAGCATCAACATAACAATAAGCTAAATGTCAGAAAAATTAGGAAAGATAATATTACAAATTCATGGATTTATAGTCTCTAATGAAGGCCGGCCAGAGCGGTAGTAGTGGCTAGCTGGACTTGCTTCTTTTAAACACAAAGAACTGGCTGTTTCACGCGAGTTGCGATAGCCTCTGTTGTTTGGAGCATGCGGTACCTGGATGTTTCTGGCAATTTATTTGGCACTCGGTAGATGATGATAGAGAAGGATTCTTGAATGCTGACTTTGTATTCGGTTTGGACCAGGTGGTCTAATATCGAACTGTTGATCGTTTTTACTACACCTTTACTTAGCTGCACTGGTAGATAATCTTGAGTGAGCACGAAAAATCAAGTTCGTAGAGCAACAGCCAATATGACTCACTCCACAAATCCAGTTGAATTGGTAGATGCAATTAGAATTGGCTAGGTAATCTAGCTACTTCATCTTTCAGTCAGAGAATCATCACCGGTAGTGCAGAAAATAAGACTTGTAGTCTGCCAGCATTAAAAGTTCCCTGAAATGATTTTCTTAATTTCTTCGAAATTATTTCGCTAGGTATATCGCCCTTGAATTGCAGTCGTATATAATAAAGTCTTCTTGTTTACGGATAGTAAGTAGTTCTTTTCCGCTTTCTTTGTCATGCGTTTCTTGATAAATTTGGCGGGAAAGCTAGATATTTTCAATCAAGGTATCATATTCAATGCTTAATTCATCTTCAGTTACTTCTTCTGAGCATATAACTCTATTTCTGTAGGTGAGGGACGTTACTAAATTTCTTTTGTACTTGAGAGGAACGAAGCTGTGAAATTGTGTTTATTGTCCTGTCCATGTACTTTTCCTATGCAAATTTCTTTTTATGCTATCATCTAGTTTTCTTCCAAGTAGGACATCCAGGAAGACAATTCTGTCTTGAGATTCCTCTTTGCACGTGAATTTCATCGTCGAATGTACTTCATTGAATTGAGTTATTATTGTGTTCCTATGCAAATCATTGTATCGACGATATTGTATAAAAGAAACTTAAGGATAGGAAGCAGCATACTGTTTGCCTGGAAAGTGCTCCACTTCTCAGCTAACTGAAAGTGGTGTGCCTCAAGGAGCAGTACTTTCTCCATTTCTTTTCTCTTTCTTTTTGCATGACCTTCCGAACTCACCCAAAGTTAACTTCATTAAGTATGCTGATGATCTGACCGTTTCTGTCCCTGTAGTTTCCACATTGGATTGTTCCCATATGAATGGCTTCTTAGCTGAAGTTAAGGATTGGTCTAGCTCAAATGGTCTTAAACTAAATCCAACTAAATGTAATCCTGTTGATTTCAGCTTGAGAAGTGAAAAAGACATGCATGGATTGATCCAATCTCATGATTGTTGTAATATTGATGGTAACATGATGGAGAGTAAGTCAAGTGTTTCTTATACTGGCATTAGTTTCTCTTCAAACCTTTGCTGGTCGTCTCATATTCTTATAGTTTCTAAGAAAGTTTTCCGTCTGACTTATTACATAAAGAAGTTGAGGCACTCAGGTATAACCCAATCTCTTCTCATACAATTTATTAATTCATGTGTTTTGCCCATCATTCTTTATTGTTCTCCATTATTCTTCCCTGGGCTACTCAAAAAAGACCATATAATACTACGAAGAACATTGAAGGCTGTAAGTAGGGTCAGTGCTATCCCTTTGACTCAACTAACCGACACTGTTGTCAATAGGCATATGAATTCTTGTAAACAGTTAGCTAAAGTTATTTTGTCTGATAGTGAACATCCTCTTTATTCACATTTGTTTCCTTGTATCTCTTCGGGTAAGACCAGAAGAAATTTCATAAACACTTATGCTCGTAATACAAAATATAAAAATTCGACCGTACCATATTTGGCACGAGTATTGTGTGAAGAGACAAATATCAGAAAAGAATTCTTACAACTTTTAAATCACTAACTAAACTATAAAATGTAATGATGCATATTATTGCATGTGTTATTTGTTATATTATTTATTTATTTATTATTCACTATGACCTAGCAATCGTGTGATTTTGTTGGGGTTTTTATTTTTCCTATTAACTATCAATAGTTTAACATTTTATACATTTATATAATTATAAACAGAGCTAAACCATTGCAATATGTAAAAGAAAGGCTGAAAATTCCATGCTGTAAATTGTTATTGTTGTGGAATAAAGTGAATTATTATTATTTTATTATTATTATTACTATTATTATCATGGCAGTTATTATTCTCATTTAATACTTTGCAGATTTTTCACACTATCCCTACTGTAAATGTGGATTTTATATTGACGTTTTCAGTAAATTAGATGCAATATTGTGACAAATGCTGAGGATTCCAAACTGTAGTATAAGTGTCGTTTTTTGGAATAAAACAGGTCGTTATTATTATTATGAATAATATGCAGTACAAAAAACACTCCTCCAGGGCAACTAATAAGCCAATAGGGAGATGGTGAGTTGATTAGAATTTAACTCTGTGATTTCAGTGACTACGTCTGATCACTTATCACTAATTCCCCATCATCTGTCTCGCTCCCTCTATCTCTCTTATTTGTCTGTCTCTTTATCTCCACATTCTCATTTCACATTTCTAAAGTTAATCAAATCATGGAATCTGATTTAATATTATAGGTTTCCAGGCAGTCTAAATTCCACACACATTCACACACACACACAAACCCACTCGTAGATTAGCCTTATTTCGTTATTTCCGTTTAAACTCCCTCCCTCTTTCGCTCCATTTTTGAAAACAAGCCTCATCAGTATTATTAACTCAATTTTCAGATGATACAGACAAACACGAACTATGAGTGGATAATATACCCCAATACATACACACACAATACACACATACATACACACACATCGATTGACATCCATTTTATATCTACCTCTGGACTTACAATCAAATCGTAAAATGACCTTTACGAATCAATAGCCTTTCTCATCTCTGATTGGTCAATCAGAAAATTCGTAACACTGATACCACGATCATCTTTTAATGCATATATATATATATAAATGTATGACATACAAACAAAAATAGAAATTTAATTCCCTTATCGATCAGTTATTTTGTGATTGAATAAGTGAGAAGAGACAACACATACAGCGGGGAACAAACAACACACACAACTGAGTAAACATAAACGTAAACAAACCAAAAAAAACTGGCAACAAAGCGAACGAACGAAGAACATCAAATTACTTGTTTATTACGCATATTTTGTAAAAAAATTTCCCCTCATTTGAGTTTTTGCCAATATATGAGAAGGATTATTTTGTATATTTGAGGAAAATAAAGAGTATGTGGATATGTGGAGTTAAGAATTTGAGATCACTTGAGCAGAACAGACAACAATATAACATACAACAGACAATCGTATGAGATGATCGAATCGAAGGGAATCTATCAAACATGTGCTGATCTACTCCCTCTCTCTCTCTGTACTCACGGGAATGTCTAGCATTGTAATAACTAATAATAACTGACTGATGAGTACTGCTCATCTGTTCTCTTTTGGATTATTTCTCTGTTGTCACGCGAAATGAAGATCATATTATTTTCATTATTATCATTTACCTGTTGATGTTGATAAATGTGTCAAGAAGGTGGTTGCTGCAAATGTATAAATCACTGACAATATTTATATGTTGCTTATTCGATTATTACCATTATTATTATTACTATCATCAATAATAGATGGTCAGATCATAATTTCAATTTGTTTATTAGATGTACAAAATTCACTCTGTCAACAAATGGATTGGAATCACGGTAAGTGATGACAATTTTTTGCTACCATTTAGTGTTTTTGAATGTAAGAATCGGAGATAATCGATAAAAATCTCTGCAACTCGTTTTTCTGGTTATTGGCGTTCATCAGTAAGGTGTCGTCAACTTTAAAATGGAAATTCTAAACCACTTCATCCAGTAATGCAGTTATAGACGTGATCATTGAGCTGCTCAGGGCTACTTTTCACCTCCTCTAAGAATGTAATGGATATATTCGCATTAGTCTGTCTGTCTGTCTGCCTGTCTTCGGAACATCCTGAGCAGAAATATTCAAATATTTGGCGTGCAATTCATTCCTGTCAATTAGATGTAGGATAATGCTACAGGTATGGACTAAATCAACACCTAGTTAAAAGATTCGAAGTGAAGCGGTAGAGCACTTTATGTCTCTCCGTGAAATCTTTTATAGTTGGTTTAAGCGAACCATTTGAAGAAGTGTAGACTGACTGATTAGAGTCCTTGGGGTGCCAGGAGCCAGTGGCTGGATGCTACTGGTGGTATGGCTCAAAAATGTTTTCTATGGCGCAGATGCATCCACTCCTTGTGACTTATGATTTCCAATGAAACTGTTTTGTTCTTCATTATTACCATACCTTTGTCTCACACCTCTGTTTACTTTCTTTATTATGCATTTCTCCTCCTGCTTTGTGTGCTACATGGGGTGTGGTGACTTGAACTGACGCACATATGTGCAAAGTTCTATGTCGAAAATAGACAGACAGACAGATTTATTGTCGCTTGAGTACATTTCAACTCATTATAGTTCTTTTGAACTTTCCGCCTCCCCCCCCCCCGCACCTTTTCTCTTCTTCGGTATACTTTATGTAGTGTGACGACTTAAAGTGCTCCACTTTTGTGCTAATTTCTCTCAGGAAACTCAGTCAGCTGGTCCTATGCAAATATTTAACTACAAGAATTAGGATAAGGTTTGCTTGAGAATTACCATAACAGATTTTTACTGCATTTCAAGTCCTTTTGTTTTCATATTAATACCTGTAAAAATGTGTAACGACTTATCTTGTAATGTCGAGAAAGATTTTCCGGTGTATTATATATATACTATTTTATATTTTTTGATTGGACAGTATTCAGTAACCAGTCTAATGTGTCTAGTCCCATCTTTGGTGCAGACATGACTGATCTAATTCAGTCTACGCCAAAGACAGGACTAGACACGTTACACCGGTTACTGACTAGTGTCTAATCAAATATATCCAGTACAGTCCTACAGGAGGTCAGTCGTGAGCTCGAATAGCTCAGTGATAACGTCTCTGACTGCAGTACTGGGTGATATGGATTCGAATCTCAGAAAAGACATAAGTCCCCCCGGCTGAGGAGTGCCAACTAGCACGAAACCTAGGTTTAGGCAGGGCTTCCTGCCAATCGCCTACAACCATCTAATATTATTTTTTAAAGAATTTATTCGTCTATGTTCTGAGCAGGGCATAGGGCTTCAAGCTAGAGCTATGAAATTCAGGTGGTAGAGGTTTACGGGTCATGGGGTGGGGTTGCTAGCCCCATGCCCTTCCACCCCACCCTCTTTACCCCGGGTTTACTACCGGCTTATTAAGGTTTAGGAGTGCGCTGGCCATGGATCGAACCCTGGACCACGTCCATATCACATATTATTGTAGATATTTAATGACATGAACTGTAAATAGTTAGTTTTACATCCTTTCAAGTTACTAGAATGTCACTTATGGAATATGTTTTTATTCTGCCGCATTTCTGCAACACTGAAATATTTGCCTTTATTCTGGTGATCCTGGATAAGGTAGGCTCTCCTTGGAGTTATTCTAAGACCTGATTTTATACTGATCATTTCGCTGATCTGATATCTGACCCACTGGTTGTATGACCTATTTTTTCTATTAACTGGTAAAGTTGATTTGCGTCCACACATTACTCAGAGTATCAACCCATTTTTCGAGGATTTCCCACGTATTCTTCATTTTCTAACAGTCTTGGATACAGAATATAATCTGACAGTTTTCATCGTGTTCCCGCTTAGTTAGTGAAATGAAATGGTCATTTCTTATCTTATGATGTGGAAAGATTGTTTATAGGATCAACATATTGGCTATTAAGATATAAGATCCGGTTCCGCCTACTTTAATTCGAGAAGACAAGGGAAGTAATAAACCCCGCACACTAATAGGTGTGTTGGTATGTTTTCATAGAAAATGTTATTTTTTATTCCTTCACTTTCCCAATGGAAAATAGGGCTTCAAGCTAGAGGCTTGAAGTTTCTGTAGCAGTTTTCATTTTTATAGGGTGAAGTTGCTAGCATCATACCCAACCTTTCCTCTTTGCCAACTTCGTTTCTGGCTAAACGAGGTAAAGGAGTGCGTCCACTGGCCGGGGATCGAACCCCGGACCATGTGCACGGTCGGCGAGCGTCCTAACCGCTGTGCCACCAACGCATAAAATACGTCATACTTCCTCATAAAATGCTTGTAAATCCTCCGTTGTCTGTTTCAAATGAAGCGAATTTGTCAGTCTTTGCCAGCTTACAGGATCCTCGTAGGGATGATTTGACAATCCCCTTTGCTTCCGATGTTGAAATTATTTGATGTGCGTCGGTGGCACAGTGGTTAGGAATCTCGCCGACCATGCACATGGTCCGGGGTTCGATCCCCTGCCGGCGCACACCCGATATCTATGGTCGGCCTGAATTTGGGCTACCGATATCCATGCTGAAAATTCCACACTTGTACTGAAAATATGGTATGGAATCAAGCTGTAAATAAAAATAAAAAAATAAATAACACAAAAAAGGCTTAGATCTAATATTAACTGATTTGTTGGAGGGTTTCATCATGAGTTGACATCAGTTGGAGAACCATTGGAAGACTTGCAGAAAGTACTAGACAGCTGTTTCGTTCTAGTTTGAGACTCTTCACAGTACGCAACCATCGGGGTTCAAACCCAGGACCTTCTGGTTACAAGGCGAGCTAGTAGACCATCAGGTCCCATCGTCCCAAACTAGGACGAACTAGCTGTCTAGTACTTCCTGCAAGTTTTCCAATCGTTGTCTAATCGATGTCAGCTCATGATAAAACTCTCCAATTATTGAAGATCTGTCTTGCTTTTACGATCTTGGCTAACTTTGATATCTTCATCCTGTAGTTGAAATGATAGGGTGTTCCGCTGTTGTTGCTGGCCGAGTATTTTCATCACCTCTGTGTTCTGCATATCCCTTTGATTGGACAGTATTTACATTTATTCACGAAGTAATTTGTCATTATACAGAGATTACATAGGACTTAGCGAAACAATTTCTTGATGACTTTTCTCATAAAGGAATTAAATGAATTTTCTCCCATTTCATTATTACTAATTTCACTGAGGAAATTCGTGAGATTTACCGGCAGTTTCCAAGACCCCTTTAAGGTTGATACCACTTAAAAATTAAGATGAACAATATAACAAAAGCTCTAATGATAAAATTTGTTGTTCCCATTTCAAAATTAGCTCTGAATTACTGAGGATTATGTAAAGGCCGAGACTATGAGCTATGAACTTCAGGTGAACACAGAGAAAACAGAGTTGATGAGGATTCTTGGCCGACAGCAACAGTGACAGCAACAGCAATAGACAACAATCACAATAAATGGGAGAAATCTGAAAGAAGCAACCTCCTTCACTTACCTACCTACCTGCCTGGAAAGCATCGTTTCAACTACAGGTGGACGTAACTGATGAGGATATGAAAGCAGCGAGGATTGGGAAAGCAAGGTAAGCTTTCATTACTCTCAAGTCTGTGTGGAGATCAACAGAACTCAGCATAAAAATGAAAATAATATCCGGATTTTCAACTCCAGTATGAAGTCAGTGCTACTCTATTCGGATCAGAAACTTTGCTCTGCCTGACGAAGGGCACTTTGAACAGACTACAAACCTACATCAACAGCTGTCTTCGCTCAATACCACTCAAGATCAGATGGCTGGCCAGAGGAGATCAACAACAGGGATCTCTGGCAATGAACGAGCCACCCCAGCAGGAAACAACTGTGCAACAAATATGCATGAAGAAATGGATGTGGATTGGTCACACTCTCAGAAAACAAACCATCAAGTGAGTGACATCACACGCCAGACCATCTTTCGAGTGAAACCTGACAAAGTGGGAAGCGGCGAGTTGGTTGGTCGTCAATGTGAGGGTGACATGGAGGAATTCATGTGAAGAGGAAATGAAAGCATGTGGGCAGATGTGGAGCCAGGTGAAATGTTGGTAGAGAAGCGAACGCAATGGAGACGTACAGCTGAAGCCCTATGTTCCTCCACGAACTAAAGAAAACAACAGTAATAATAATGATCTATGAGTGTTATTTTTATTCTTGGAGTCACTCAGTTAATAAAAATTCTACTATTTTTATAGGGTTAGTTGTTTAACGAGATATCAATGTTGAGTTTGCTTTTTAGAGTGGATAGGTGAATGAAAGCGCTCACCTACTTATAAATGCTTGATATTGCATGACCTAGAGAATGAATGAACTTAGGAGTAGAGTGCGAAAAACATTCATGACGAATTATTAACGATTCAGTAGACATATAAACCTATTTTATCTCATTCAAAATTCTACATTAGCATAATACAATTTAGACCTATTCAAAGAAACACATTACTAGTCACTTTGGCTAATACAAACCATCTTAGGTGTGTATTGCGATATTATTCGTGGTGAGCTGTGTGCTGTGATGGAAGACATATTTAGAACAAGGATGCAATTCAAAAATCACCTGCATACTCATGCAAATGGCAATGAATTACACCTATTGTGTGGAAGCTAGTGACAATACCTGACTGCTCAAACTTCCATACGGAAAGCAGGTTTCGGAGCCGTGTCTCAGTGTTTGGAAGCTGAGTTATAGATCACTAGAATACAAGTTCACCTATAAAATAAATATCAAGAGGAATCCTTTGCATTCATCTGCATTCTGAGGGGAGAATAGATATACAAGACTGAGCTTTAAACCTT